TGCGCAAAAGGGCCAGTGTAAACAGCACAGTAGTGTTTTCCACAAAAAAGCCCCGATCACGAAAATGGCGATTGGGGCTTTTTTGCGGAAAAGCGCATTTAGATTGGCCATGGACGCTTTTCCGCAAAAAGTGCTTTTGCGGAAAAGCACCCTGCCAATCTAGACGTGCTTTTCTGAAAATGCTTTTAACGGAAAACTTTTAAAAGCATTTTCGGAAAAAAGCATTTTCGGAAAATCATGCCAGTGTAGAAGTAGCCTGGGAGTTTTGCCATTGATTTCAATAGGTACAGGACAGAACCTTTATTGTGCACTATAGATCACTTGACACAATTAGGATGTATTAAAGAAAGTCAGATCACTAACCTATCATTTGAAATAATAAAATAATTGCTAATGTCATGATCATTATGATCTAAAAAGACCTCTTCAGGCATTACACATATGTGCAAAGCCAAAGAGCACGAGGCTCACAGTGATAAGTAACAACCAGTAGTCTTAGAATCACAGAATACTAGAACTGAAAGGGACCTTGAGAGGTCATCAAGTCCAGTTCCCTACCCCCATGGCAAGACCAAGCACTGTCTCATCCCTGACAGATATCTATCTAACCTGCTCTTAAATATCTCCAGTGATGTAAATCCCACAACTTCCTTATGCAATTTATTCCAGTGTTTAATTGCACTGACAAGAAGTTTTTCCTAATGCCCAACCTAAACCTCCCTTGTTGCAGTTTAAGCCCATTGCTTCTTGTCCTAACATCAGAGGTCAAGGAGAACATTTTTTTCTCCCTCCTCCTTATGACAGCCTTTTAAGATACTTGAAAACTGCTATCATATCCCCTTCTCAGTCTACTCTTATCCAAACTAAACAAGCCCAATTCTTTCAGTCTTTCCTCATAGCTCATATTTAATAGACCTTTAATCATTTTTGTTGCTTATCTCTAGACCTTCTCCAATTTCTCCACATCTTTTTTTAAATGTGGTGCCGAGAACTGGACACAATACTCCAACTGAGGCCTAATCAGTGCAGAATAGAGCGGAAGAATGACTTCTTGTGTCTTGCTCACAACACTCCTGTTAATGCATCCCAGAATCATGTTTGCTTTTTTTGCAACAGTGTCACACCGTTGACTCATATTTAGCTTACAGTCCACTTTGACCCCTAGATCCCTTTCTGCAGTATTCCTTCCTAGACAGTTGCTTCTCATTCTGTATGTATGGAACGGATTGTTCCTTCCTAAGTGGAGTACTTTGCATTTGTCCTTATTAAACTTCATGTTATGTACCTCAGAACATTTCTCTGGTTTGTCTAGATCATTTTGAACATGATCCTATCCTCCAAAGCAGTTGCAACCCCTCTCAGGTTGGTATCATCTGCGAACTTAATAAGTGTACACTCTATGCCAGCGTCCAAATTGTCAATGAAGATATTGAACAGAACCGGTCCCAAAACAGACTGCTGCAGAACACTGCTTGTTACGCCCTTCCAGCGGAACTGTGAACCATTAATAATGACTCTCTGACAACAGTTAGCCAGCCAGTTATGCCCTAAATAGGTTGTATTTCCCTAGTTTATTGATAATAAGATCATGCAAAACTGTATCAAATGCTTTGCTAAAGTCCAGGTATACCACCTCCACCCACTTCTCCCTTATCCACAAGGCTTGGTAGCCTACCACAGAAAGCTATCAGAGTGGTTTGACCTGCTTTGTTCTTTACAAATCCATGCTGGCTGTTCCCTATCATCTTATTATCTTCCAGGTGTTTGCAGAAGAATTCCTTCATTACCGCCTCCAGTATCTTCCCTGGCACAAAAGTTAAATAATGATAGAAATGTAGCCGTGTTAGTCTGGGGTAGCTGAAGCAAAATGCAGGACAATGTAGCACTTTAAAGACTAACAAGATGGTTTATTAGAGGATGAGTTTTCGTGGGCCAGACCCACTTCCTCAGATCAAATAGTGGAAGAAAATAGTCACAACCATATATCCTTTGCTATATATGGTTGTGACTATTTTCTTCCACTATTTGATCTGAGGAAGTGTGTCTGGCCCACGAAAGCTCATCATCTAATAAACCATCTTGTTA